GAAATGCTTTTTTTTTTTTTCTATGGATGGGCGGGTATTTTATTAAAGGGGATTCGGGAAAACCGGTTATTTTTATACCGGATTTGAGTTCGGGAAAAGGGAAGTAAAATGCCTGCCTTTAAAGGGGGGGGGTTCGGGGTATTGGGCAGTTTGGGGGAATTTTGTGTACTTTATACTTATTTCAAAAACTGTTGTATTCTGAGCCCCTTTTAAAAAGCAGTGATAATTGTGAGGTGGTGAAAGTGTTGAATGATGAAAGTATTTTCTTTTTTGGGGATTTTCTTTCTTTTTGGGTCACCCTGCCTCGGTGGGAGACGACCGACTTATTAAAATAAATAAATTTGTCTATTCTACACTAAACTTTAACGTATATTCAAAATATGACGCCATGCTGATTATACTCATAATTCTATTTAGTATATCTTGTGTCCACCAGATGCATAGTGCGACGCGCTTTATATCCCATCACGCCCATTAATCGCGTTTTTTTGGTTAATATTTATTAACATATATTAAACTTTAACTAGTAACACAGCCATAAAATCTAAATATCATAATATTAACAATAGCGAAGACATGTTACCGGTCAAGTTTTTATCTCAATAACTTTGTTTTGCGTGGATATGATTTGAGAAAGTTCTACTCAGTAAGATGCTTTTTTTTACACAAATTAGTTTTACAAGCTAAGAACTGTTATCGTACCTGTGTTCATTTCAAAACCCAGCCGTATCAGCCTGGTTGATCAGGCCCTGATCTACCATGAGGCCTGGTCACAGACCGGGCCGCGGAGGAGTTGACCTCCGAAACCCTCTCCAGGTATACTGCAGGTATCTAAGGTATACTACCACCTACCAGGATGCCACCCGCAAGTCGACTAACACTAAGATATCTACTTACTGCTAGGTGAACAGGGACAGCAAGTGTAAGGAAATATGCCCAACTTTTCCACTCGTGCCGGGGATTGAACCATGGACACTCAGTATGTTTTCCTAATGAAAGCGTGTGCAATGTGAATTTCCTTCGCAAGACAGTCATAAGTTACCTCCTGGCCCAGGCTCACCACCACCTCCATGGTCAACTCACAGAGGTGGTGGTGGGAAGTGACTTAGGTTACTACCAGTGGCTTACCACAACACGCAACACACATATTACTTACTAGTTTGTCTTGGAAGCTTTATTTTACCCATTGAGAGGCGCTAAACCCTTAGAGCGTCACATAGTGTGTGGTATGGGAGGTAATCAGACCTGATGCATGCAAGGTAACTTAGAGCGTCACATAGTGTGTGGTATGGGAGGTAATCAGACCTGATGCATGCAAGGTAACTTAGAGCGTCACATAGTGTGGTATGGGAGGTATCAGACTGATGCATGCAAGGTAAAATTAGAGCGTCACATAGTGTGTGGTATGGGAGGTAATCAGACCTGATGCATGCAAGGTAACTTAGAGCGTCACATAGTGTTGGTATGGGAGGTAATCAAGACCTGATGCATGCAAGGTAACTTAGAGCGTCACATAGTGTGTGGTATGGGAGGTAATCAGACCTGATGCATGCAAGGTAACTTAGAGCGTCACATAGTGTGTGGTATGGGAGGTAATCAGACCTGATGCATGGGAAGGTAACTTAGAGCGTCACATAGTGTGTGGTATGGGGGGTAATCAGACCGATGCATGCAAGGTAACTTAGAGCGTCACATAGTGTGGGGGTATGGGAGGTAATCAGACCTGATGCATGCAAGGTAACTTAGAGCGTCACATAGTGTGTGGTATGGGAGGTAATCAGACCTGATGCATGCAAGGTAACTTAGAGCGTCACATAGTGTGTGGTATGGGAGGTAATCAACCTGATGCATGCAAGGTAACTAGAGCGTCAATAGTGGGGTGGTATGGAGGTAATCAGATCTGATGATGCAGGTAACTTAGAGCGTCACATAGTTGTGGTATGGGAGGTAATCAGACCTGATGCATGCAAGGTAACTTAGAGCGCACATAGTGTGTGGTATGGGAGGTAATCAGACCTGATGCATGCAAGGTAACTTAGAGCGTCACATAGTGTGTGGTATGGGAGGTAATCAGACCTGATGCATGCAAGGTAACTTAGAGCGTCACATAGTGTGTGGTATGGGAGGTAATCAGACCTGATGCATGCAAGGTAACTTCCCATCTTTTTGTGCAGTACTGTCGTGAACCACACTGGGAATAACTCAGTTTAACTTTTTTTTTTTTTTTTTTTTTTTTGGGGGGGGGGGAGGGAGGGAGGGGTTATCCTAGGTAATTTACACTATGTATGATAATTGTACTTTGTGTACCTGTGCCTAAATAAACTTAACCTATATTATTCTTACTTTATAGGCTACGCCTATAGGGGTCATAAAGCGCCTTGGGGTTGGGAGGCAGTTTTGATCCACGGAGAGGGAAGATAACTTTGAATACACAAAAATGGAACAGCAATAAATAAATCCTTTGACCCAGTGGACGTTATTTCGCACATTTTGCTTTATATTCATTCTAACCACGGATACTAGGAACTTTTTTGCATTGGGATTTTTTTTTTTATTTTATTATTGGCACTTTTTTTCATTTTCCAGACTTAGAATATTAGTTTAATATCTTTATTATGCACCCCTATATACCAGGGTATATAATGGGTCCAGGGACTGGATCACACTCGTCCAGCAACTGGCTTCTCGAATTTAACCCCGCCAAATGCAAAGTCATGAAGATCGGGGAAGGGCAAAGAAGACCGCAGACGGAGTATAGGCTAGGTGGCCAAAGACTGCAAACCTCGTTCAAGGAGAAAGATCTTGGGGTGAGTATAACACCGAGCACGTCTCCGGAAGCACACATCAACCAGATAACTGCTGCAGCATATGAGCGCCTGAGAAAACTGAGAATAGAGTTCTGATACCTTTGTAAGGAATCGTTCAAGACACTGTACACTGTGTACGTCAGGCCCATACTGGAGTATGCAGCACATGTTTGGAACACACACCTGGTCAAGCACGTCAAGAAATTAGAGAAAGTGCAAAGGTTTGCGACAAGGCTAGTTCCAGAGCTAAGGGAAATGTCCTATGAAGAAAGGTTAAGGGAAATCGGTCTGATGACATTGGAGGACAGAAGAGTTAGGGGAGACATGATAACGACATACAAAATACTGCGTGGAATAGACAAGGTGGACAGAGACAAGATGTTCCAAAGAGGAGACACAGAAACAAGGGGTCACAATTGGAAGTTGAAGACCCAGCTGAATCAAAGGGATGTTAGGAAGTATTTCTTCAGTCATAGAGTAGTCAGGAAGTGGAATAGCCTAGCAAGTGAGGTAGTGGAGGCAGGAACCATACATAGTTTTAAGATGAGGTATGATAAAGCTCATGGAGCAGGGAGAGAGAGGACCTAGTAGCACTCGGTGAAGAGGAGGGGCCAGGAGCTGAGTCTCGACCTCTGCAACCACAATTAGGTGAGTACACAGTTGTGATGGCTATACAAGTTACAGTCGTAATGAACTATTTACATGTTTAGATCCGGTTACAGTCATAATGAGTTATGTATGCAGATATCAATTAAGTACTAAATATATTATAATTTTCAGCCTTTATTTTTTTTTTCGCCGGTATTCTCCCGGCCCGGGTCTTTTCCAAGTAGTGGTGACCCGGCCTTGGCTCCCTATCTGGGGAGTGTCTCGAGACTTAAGTCTCCCATGAGAGGAGGTACAAGTACCTCCTCATCTTTGGGACCAAGTGTCCCCAGGCCTAGCCACATTCCCCGCCCTCACGGGGCTCGTAGGGAGAAGCTAGGCCTCTGGTCTGCCATCTGCCCCGCCCCAAAGGGGCTCGTGGGGTGGCAGTCTTATGAGCTGCAGATGGTAGCAAGCTCAGGCCGTTAGTTTTTTTTATTTTAGTGTCACTGGCAAATTTAGTAATATTACCAGCGGCGGACTTTTAAGCTGACTCAGCGGACCTCGACTATTGAGGGGCTGCTAAATCATTTTTTTTTTTAACTCTTGGTGAGTTGGTCCTGTGTATAATAACATTTGACATCTTGTGGTCGTGCTGGGTCCTGTGACCACAAATATTTATCTGCATATCTTACAAAGCATGTCGATTCTGAAATCAAAATACATTTTTTTTTATTTTTTTCATATTGTGTGGAATATTTATTTTAGAAAAAAAAAATTCATACTGCATGCTCGCAGCAGTCATACATTCAATCACACGTCTAGCTCTAACGTTAAATTTTAATTTCCACTAGTGCAATAGCTGACAGCAGAGATGGACCCTTAATTGTTTTTCTTAGGGGACTTTGGACTTCTAAATCCGCTACTGATTCTTGCTGTTCATTTCTATGAATGTATACAGGACTGTAAATACTACGGGTTCCAGAACAGGGCCTTGGAGCACTCCATTCTTTTACATAGTTTATCTTGACACACTCAGAGCTGGTTTTCCTGTCTAAGCTTATTGCAAGGCCAGTCCCATTTATTAAACCTTATATTTGCTTATATGCAAACCTTTCAAGTTAGAGACATACCAACCTCCCACTTGTAGAAGTCACAATACTATGGCTGAAATAATTCACAAATAACCCATAATTTCGAGAGGAAACAGTAAGCAAAGTTCTGAAGCATTATCACATATAAATTTAGTTGTAATGTGCTAATGGTCCAGGGCGGACCGAAACGTCGTCTATTGTTTCCTCTTGAAATAATGGAATATATCCCCCCCCCCCATGCACACTAACTTATAGCACGTCTCGTACACCGCTAACATACTGTGCAGTCTCGCTTTATTATTATTAGCATTAATTATTATTATTATTATTATTATTATTATTATTATTATTATTATTATTATTATTATTATTATTATGGGAAACTGTAAGCCACTATAGGTTATATAGTGCTTGGGAGTGGTAGAATGGAAAATAATATTGAATCCGAATAGAAGGATAGTTCCAACTACTTGGATCACGAACCCTTTACCAGCATCAGTGCTTCCCCCCTTGAGGGGCAAGCCTGCTAACAAACTGTTCCTTTTCCCCTCCCAGAGAAGTGTGAGGCTCCCTTCGTACATCTTGCATACCGTATGTGTATCCTGCCAGAAACCACATTGAAGCTCTCGTGGTCTGCTGCCTCGGACTACTGCTTGTGAGTCAACTACAGCAGTTTATTTTATTTAGTAAGGTTGGATACATCATATATGCGCTGTCACCAAATTCTGTGTGATATTTTGTAGGAGAGAAATCTGTTTTCCTGTCATAATCCATCACATAAGATGGGTTTCCTGTCACACTTTGTACACACAATGGGTTTCTTGTCGCACTCCATCAAAGGATGATTTTCTTGTCACAATCCAATCCACAGGACAGGCTTCTTGTCACACTCCGTCACACAGTTCAGGTTTCTTGTCACACTCCATCACATAGGATGGGTTTCTTGTCACAGTCCATCACACAGTTCAGGTTTCTTGTCACACTCCGTCACACAGTTCAGGTTTCTTGTCACACTCCATCACATAGGATGGGTTTCTTGTCACACTCCATCACACAGTTCAGGTTTCTTGTCACACTCCATGACACAGTTCAGGTTTCTTGTCACACTCCATCACAAAGGATGGGTTTCTTGTCACACTCCATCACAAAGGATGGGTTTCTTGTCACACTCCATCATACAGAATGGGTTGTCACATTTCATTACGACTGACTTAGCACTTCCTCATGATTAAAATGAAAAATGCCCATTTATAGTCATGATAGTTGACAGTTTTCCTGTCATAATGCATGACATAAGGAGGAGGGAGCTTGTCGTATTCCATCACAGGATGGTTTTCCTGTCATAATTCATGCGGGATGATTTTGTCATATTTTACCAAACAGGCTGGAGGACTTAGTGACAAGAATTCCCCATAATTTAGGTGCTTTACTGAATTTATACAGGCTGTGAAGATTTTGGAAATCCTCCACATTGCTAAATAGCTTGCTTTAAAGGGGGGTTGTTAGTATATACATTGCACCGCTTGGTAGTTAATGAAAAAAATTGTGTTTTGCAGGAGGCATGGAGCAGTGCTTGCTCAGGACGCTGTGGTGATCAAGACCAGGAGATACCTCAACGACCTCTATGGTGAAACAGGGACACGTATGTCTACTAACACTCATAGTAAATCCCACCCTCATATGAGCATGTTTTCCGATGAATTAAGCAACTGTGTATAATGGTGGTTGTGTTTTGTTCTTGAAGAAACAGGACAATTTTCTGAGGTGATTTTTAAACAGATGATGACCAATTAAGTTAAGCATCTGGGCTATTCCAAGTAAGTTTTACTACTATTTAAAAAATAAAGGTTCACCATATAATATATCCTAGCATGGCTAATTAGTCTATTGGCTGCAAGAATAACATTTCTGTCCCACAATTAGAGGACGGAGGACAACCTCCAACTCCCACTGAGTGAGCCACATATTTAAAGCTTAATATAATACTCTGTCCAGGTATATAGAGTATTTTTAAATGACTTATTCCATCCTACTGTGTGTTTAAGGTGAGCGGTGGCCCCTGTGGGTTGGCGGGAAGGAAATAATGAAGGATCACGAGAAGACGTGGATGTGGGCAGACAGCTCATTAGTTCCAGACTTCCTATGGAACAAAGGTCATCCTCGATCCTACACTCGTCGTCAGGCTCCTGACGGCACCTGCATGTTCCTCGATGGATACAAAAATTTCTATGCCTCTAGCCTACCCTGCCACTATAGGCGACGCTTCGTATGTCAGCTCCCTGACTAATGCTGCTACCAGAATCTGCTTCTATGAGAAAATGGTTGCATCTGGAGAGAATGCTATAAAAATGTATAAGAAACCCAGCCCTACTTTAAGTCATATCAAATTAAAAATGCTTTATTTTGAAATGTACATAATTGTTAGCTCATACATTTTGAAAAAGACCCTGACTGTTCGGACAATAAATCCAGAACTTACAACTACTTAATATTATGTACACTAGTTAAAAATTGTTTGAATGCCAACATTCAGTTATGTTCTACGTAAATTTACATTAAAGTTATGTGGCGATTCTGACATTATTTTTGATGCTGTTGAGGGAGAGTACCTTAAGAATCTTTGAGGCATGCAAAGAGTACGTAACCTTTATTCGGCGCATGTACACACCCTCATTTACAGGCTATCTCCCCCAACCAGCGAACCAGGGAAATGAGGGTTGACGATGGGGCCCCGTCGTTCAATCAGTACCCAGGTTCCAGCCAATGAGAAGACGGTTTTGGCAATCGCAGAGGTTATGTGGGTACCACTCACCTGTCTGCCCTTGTCATTCCCATTCTAGCACTGGTTGAAGCACGGTCTGCTCTGTAGTGGCTTCTATTCTGCCTTGCTTACCGTGTAGTACACTAATACCTATTGTTGTACATAGTGTATATAGTGTACATACTTCTGTTCTAAATTGGTGAAGGATAATATAAGTCAAAAGTTTTTCTGCTGTGTTTATTTTGCTCCCTTTACACCCAGGATAACAGGCCTTTGGGACTCCTGGGTTGTAATAATCTTCCATTTTTTTTTTTTTGGGGGGGGGGACTTTCTTTACGTGGAGTTTCTCCTTGTATTATCTATACATTCTACTGCAGTTCTCAAAGTTCTAAGACTGGGTTAATATTTGTATTGAACATTGTGTGGTGTGTATGTATGTATATACATGTATGTATGTATAATTATATATATATATATATATATATATATATATAATATATATATTATATATATATATATATAAGAACACTGCAGTAGGCCTACTGGCCCATGCGAGGCAACTCCAAGTCTCCTACCGGCTCAAGCCAATGCCCCAACCTAGTCAGGTTAGGTCACATTCACTTAAGGAAGGAACACGGCAACTGACCTAGTAGCACAAGCTAATCAGGTCCAATTCATACCCACCCACACCCACTCGTGTATTTATCTAACCTAGTTTTAAAACTACACAACGTTCTAGCCTCTATAACTACTTGGGAGTTTGTTCCACTCATCCACAACTCTATTACCAAACCAGTGCTTTCCTATATCCTTTCTGAATCTGAATTTTTCCAACTTGAAACAATTGCTACGAGTCCTGTCTTGGCTAGATATTTTCAGCACGTTATTTACATCCCCTTTATTTATTCCTGTCTTCCATTTATACACCTCAATCATATCCCCCCCCCCTAATTCTACGCCTTTCTAGAGAGTGCAGATTCAGGGCCCTCAGTCTATCCTCATAGGGAAGATTTCTGATACATGGGATCAACTTTGTCAACCTCCTTTGTATGTTTTCCAGAGCATTTATATCCATTCTGTAATACTGTGACCAAAACTGTGCAGCAAAATCTAAATGAGATCTAACCAAGGATATACAGAGTTGAAGAACAACCTGGGGACTCCTATTATTTATGCTTCTTGATATGAAGCCAAGGATTCTGTTAGCTTTATTGCAAACACTTATGCACTGTTGTCTTGGTTTCAGATTACTGCTAACCAGAACTCCTAAATCTTTTTCGCAATCCGTAATATTAAGATCTACATTATTTAGTTCATATGTGGCATGGTTATTTTCCTGTCCAACATTTAGAACTTTGTATTTGTCTATATTAAACTGAATCTGCCACTTCTCCGACCACTGCATCAGTCTATTCAAATCTTCCTGGAGTGCTCTAATGTCCTCGTCAGAATGAATTCGACGGCCTATTTTGGTGTCATCGGCAAACTTGCTGATGTCGCTCTTTATGCCCTCATCTATGTCGTTTATGTAGATTGTGAACAGCAAGGGGCCCAACACTGACCCCTGTGGAACACCGCTCGTGACGCTTCCCCACTCTGATTTCTCCCCATTTATGCAAACTCTCTGCTGCCTATTTGTCAACCATGCCTCTATCCAGGAAAACATTTCTCCTCCTATTCCATGTGCCTTAATTTTCCTCAATAGTCTCTGATGTGGGACCCTGTCAAAAGCCTTACTGAAGTCCATATACACAATATCATATTCATTACCATGATCTACCTCCTCAAGTACCTTAGTGAAAAAAGTTAATAAATTCGTAAGACAGGAGCGCCCGTTTGTAAAACCATGCTGAGATTCGTTGATTAATTTATGCTTTTCAAGGTGGCTACGAACTACCTCGGCAATTATTAATTCCATAAATTTTCCCACTATGGAGGTTAGGCTTATTGGTCTATAGTTCGAAGCTAAGAACCTGTCACCTGCTTTAAAAATAGGTATCACATTTGCCATTTTCCACTTATCTGGCACCATGCCAGTCTGTAGTGATATATTGAAAAGATTAGCTAGAGGTTTGCTAAGCTCCTCTTTACATTCCTTTAGAACCCTTGCATACAGTTCATCAGGGCCAGGGGATTTGTTAGGATTTAATTTATCAATTTGCCTAAGGACCATGTCACTTGTGACCCTAATCGTGCATAATTTATCATCCTGTTGTACATAATTTATTATTTCTGGAATATCGCTACTATCTTCCTGTGTAAAAACTGAGAGGAAGTACGTGTTAAAAATTCTACACATTTCCTTATCACTGTCCGTGAGCTGACCCGAGTAACTTGAGTAGGCCTATCTTGTCCCTGATCTTACTTCTGTATACCTGAAAGAATCTTTTTGGGTTAGTCTTCGATTCTCTTGCAACTTTAACCTCATAATCTCTTTTTGCTTTCTTATTCCCTTTGTTATATGTCTCTTTAACTAAATATATTGATTTATTAATTGCACCTATCCTCTTTTGATTTGCCTATATATGCCTCTCTTTTAACCAATGAGATGTTTGAACCTATTGTTCATCTATTTAGGATCATTTTTGCTTGATCTGATTTCCCTATTTGGAACGTAAGTTGTCTGAGCAGCTAGAACTATGCCCTGGAAAACGTCATATCGGCAACCATCACCACCTACCTGACCTATAGTCAGGTCATTCCAGTTCAGCCCACCCAAGTAATTTTTCAGTCCTATGAAATCAGCCAAGCGGAAGTCAGGGACAGAGACTTGATTACCATTATTAGGAAAATACCATGATATATTTAAACTGAGTAATTTGTGATCACTTTCCCCAAGCTCATCATTAACCTCAAGATTATTAATTAGCATTTCCCTGCTGGCAAGAACCAAGTCAAGCAGGTTATTTCTCCTCTCTCTCTCTCTCTCTCTCTCTCTCTCTCTCTCTCTCTCTCTCTCTCTCTCTCTCTCTCTCTCTCTCTCTCTCTCTCTCTCTCTCTTCTCTCTCTCATCTTCTATATATATATATATAATATATATATATATATATATATATATATATATAAATAATATATATATATATATAAATATTAAAATATATATATATATATATTATATATAATATAATATATAATATATATATATAATATATATATATATATATATATATATATATATATATATATATATATATATATATATAATGTCGTGTCGCCGAATATGTAAAACTGGTCAGTTAGCAAGAACTTATTTAAAATTAAGTCCTTTCTGAAATTTTCTCTTATACGTTTAAAGATATATATCTTTTCATTAATGTTAATGTAAAAAATTTTAATTTTGCACCAAAAGAATCTTAGAAAACTTACCTAACCTTATTATAACAAGAGCAATTTATTTTAGCCTAACCCAACTAAATATATTTTAGATTTGTTTACAATAATTTAATACTAAACAAACACAGTGAAATATATTTTTTTCGTTAAGTTCAGAATGATTTTGGCGAAATTATTGCATACACAAATTTTCACTTGTCCTATATGGCAAGATGAGCGTTGCTATTTAAGCCAAGATCGCAAGTTCTACCTATTCGGCACGACATATATTATATATATATATATATATATATATATATATATAATATATATATATATATATATATATATATATATAAGAGAGAGAGAGAGAGAGAGAGAGAGAGAGAGGGAGGGAGGGAGGTACCACCTCTAGAACTGTCCTAGGGACCCTCATCCTGGAGTTTACCTGGAGAGAGTTCCGGGGGTCAACGCCCCCGCGGCCCGGTCTGTGACCAGGCCTCCTGGTGGATCAGAGCCTGATCAACCAGGCTGTTGCTGCTGGCTGCACGCAAACCAACGTACGAGCCACAGCCCGGCTGGTCAGGAACCGACTTTAGGTGCTTGTCCAGTGCCAGCTTGAAGACTGCCAGGGGTCTGTTGGTAATCTCCCTTATGTATGTTGGGAGGCAGTTGATCAGTCTCGGGCCCCTGACACTTATTGTATGGTCTCTTAACGTGCTAGTGACACCCCTGCTTTTCATTGGGGGGATGTTGCATCGTCTGCCAAGTCTTTTGCTTTCGTAGTGAGTGATTTTCGTGTGCAAGTTCGGTACTAGTCCCTCTAGGATTTTCCAGGTTTATATAATCATGCATCTCTCCCGCCTGCGTTCCAGGGAATACAGGTTCAGGAACCTCAAGCGCTCCCAGTAATTGAGGTGTTTTATCTCCGTTATGCGCGCCGTGAAGGTTCTCTGTACATTTTCTAGGTCAGCAATTTCACCTGCCTTGAAAGGTGCAGTTAGTGTGCAGCAATATTCCAGCCTAGATAGAACAAGTGACCTGAAGAGTGTCATCATGGGCTTGGCATCCTAGTTTTTAAGGTTCTCATTATCCATCCTGTCATTTTTCTAGCAGATGCCATTGATACAATGTTATGGTCCTTGAAGATGAGATCCTCCGACATGATCACTCCCAGGTCTTTGACGTTGGTGTTTCGCTCTATTTTGTGGCCAGAATTTGTTTTGCACTCTGATGAAGATTTAATTTCCTCGTGTTTACCATATCTGAGTAATTGAAATTTCTCATCGTTGAACTTCATATTGTTTTCTGCAGCCCATTGAAAGATTTGGTTGATGTCCGCCTGGAGCCTTGCAGTGTCTGCAATGGAAGACACTGTCATGCAGATTCGGGTGTCATCTGCAAAGGAAGACACGGTGCTGTGGCTGACATCCTTGTCTATGTCGGATATGAGGATGAGGAACAAGATGGGAGCGAGTACTTTGCCTTGTGGAACAGAGCTTTTCACCGTAGCTGCCTCAGAGAAAAGAATAAACTTGCTTCAGGGAAAACTGTTTGAGAATTTTCTCCTACCACCCCTGTATATATATATATATATATATATATATATATATATATATATATATATATATATATATATATATATATATATATATATATATATAGGTCTCAGAGTAGACTAACTGTCACCATCCACGGTGACACCTACGCTACTCTGAGACCTCTCTCCCTAGTTTGGTTGCTCCCTTGCAACATTGCACAGCTCCTGATGATGCACTGAGAAGTGTGAAAGTACTTGACCTAAAGATTTCCACCCCTCTTCCGTGGCTTGTTCTGCATAGTTAAGATCACCTGTCTGCAATAGTTTGCATATAATAAATATATATATATATATATATATATATATATATATATA